TCGTAATGCCGGGTTCGATCCCTGTTGCGGGCCATGTGCCTTGCGTTGGTTTCGACAGTAGTATCAAGAAAGCCGACCGCCCAGATAGCGATGGCATACTACTGGACGTAAATTTGCCTAGAAAAACCACACAACAGCGAGGGGCTTTTGGGGTTGGTTTTGCAACGTCTTGTAAAGGATACGCAACTAACCTAGATATATTTTTTTTTAAAAAGGGTCTTACTAGTATTCTGTATTTAATCTCCAGTCCCTTACATTGTTTTCGTCTCCACCGCTGCCGGATCTTTAGTCATTGCCCTAAGTGCACTCGATGCGCTGCTAACTTCAGTATTTAATTAACAATTTGGCTGACAATGTATTCTTTTCCAAACACTGCCTAGATAATTCCCGGTACTCGTTCTTATGTAGTCTCGGCCCAGGGGTGCTGAAATAAAGAAAACCTTTAAGGAGCCCAACCCTATAACTCATTTTCTAGGGGTCAGGGGTGGGCGAGCACAATGGAATGAAAATGACCTCTTGTTTCAGAACTTGACCTTTGCGTGCGTATCCGCTTGACAGACAGGCAGGACGTATATGTCTGGTAAATCTTGAAAACGAAAACGACACTTGAAGTTCTAAGGGGAATAGCATTGAAGTAAACTTTGTAGAAAGTTATGATTTATATGATGTTATAGAAAGACTATTAAACGTGATACAGCTCTCAGTGATTGTGACGCTAATTAAAGAAACGCCTTGAAAGATTTGCCGCAGTTGCACTGCTAAATTGAAACTGAAGTCAGAATAAGACCTGAAAATCTAATCGTCTAGTGGACACAGTGTGGGAGACGTTATTTCACTGAAAATATACAAACTTCAGAAGGCATTTTGTAGTATTGATGTGTATAGCTAGTGTGTACAATTTGCAATCCACACCCGCCCAATATAACGTAACCTTTTGTTTTGTTTTCTCAGCCTTTTGGCTAAGATCAAAGAGTAGCTCTCCTGCAATGATTTGGACAAACCAAGTCACGGATGAAACCCAATCGGCTAAAGCCATCTAATAGATGGTCATCTAAAAGTAGTCTATCCATAACCATCTATCTCGTGTGCCTTCAATCATTCTTGACACAGATTATTTTCATTGTCATGATGTCAGACTGTCCAGCATATTCTCTCTCGGTCTCCCTCTGCCTCTACTCCCCTTCAGCTTTCCTACTATCACGATGTACTCCAATGTTCCCCTTCTCATCACATGATCAAATAATGTAGATTGTTTCCTTCTGATGTGGGCAATCATTTCTCTTCGTAAGTTAGTTTTTTTTCAAGACATCTTTATTATTCTTTTTTTTTTTTTAAATCTTTGTCCAGGCAATTGCGATCGTTCATCTGCACCGCTTCAAAATATTCATCTCTAATAAATAATTGCTCTTTACATGCATGTATTTTTTTTCCGTCATGTTGATATAAACTTGACGATCACAACTGGCTATCTCACAACATCTATGGCAAGATGGACCAGATTTGATTTCTTGACCCGACTATGCCATTTGAGCCAGTCATACAGGTATTTATTCTCTCTCTCTCTCTCTGTGTGTGTGTGTGTGTGTGTGTGTGTGTGTGTGTGTGTGTGTGTGTGTGTGTGTGTGGGTGGGTGGGTGGGTGGGTGGGTGGGTGGGTAGGTGTGTGTGGGTGTGTGTGTGTGTGTGTGTGTGTGTGTGTGTGTGTGTGTTGTGTGTGTGTGTGTGTGTGTGTTGTGTGTGTGTGTGTGTGTGTGTGTGTGTGTGTGTGTGTGTGTGTGTGTGTGTGTGTGTGTGTGAAAAAAATCTTATTTAAACAAATCAAGCATATATTTGCTAGAGAAATTTAAAACGCATTTCTCTGTACAACAGTCCAAAAAAGTCTGGCTTGTCTTTGCATGAATACTCTTATCAAATTACGATTTCCTGTGCTTCTTGGGAAAATCTTTCATCTGTTTAATGCTCAACCATTCTTTTGACTGCAATTCCCCCCTCCCCACCCCCTCACCCCACCCCCTCACACTAACCCCTCACCCCCACCCCCTAAAAAAGATGTAATATCAAATCATATGATTCTTGATTTGTTCGATCTGTTTCTTGTCTAACTTCTGACATCATCATCATCAGTTCTCGTTATGCTGAGTGGCACATGAGGCTTCATAGAGGACTTTCCATGCTCTCTCTCCTGTCCTGTGCAATCTTCAGTGCAGTTCTCAATGTCAGAGATGCCGCATTCAGGTCACTTTCCACCGTTCGTCTCCATGTTGTTTCTGGGTGCTCCTGTTTTCTCTTTCCCTCTGGTGTCCATGTGAGAGCTGTTTTTGGCAGCTATATCAGGATTCATTCTCATAACGTGTCTACGCCATTTCCATATTCTCTTGGTTATCGTAATGTCTGACGTACACGTACCATTATAGGTTAGAAATATAACATTTTAACTGAGTTTAAAAAAGAAATAGTAATATAAATATTTGACTGGTGAGTTTCCCCATTTTCACAAAACGGATTTTGTGTTGAAGATCTCTTCCGCTCGAAATAAAGACTGTTCAAAGATAATAATTTCCATGTGTACTTTTTACTATTTCTCTCCTTCTTTAGTTTTGTTTTTAGTAAGATCACAGCTCATATTTGTTTTTTTATTTTAATTACATTCCTCGTTGATCGATACATACAAGAAGGCTACCTGCAATGATTTAATTTAAAAAAAACACAACAACAACAGAAGTATAGACGTAGTGTTAACAAATACGTTTATTTATTGACAGATAACAAGAACTTGTCAGATGTCCTGAAGCTGGACTGGTATGGAGCTTTAGTACCCTGCGGATGGAGAAGATATATTTGCTAGTTAGTGGTATCCAGAGACAGTTGAAAAATGCACGAACATGGGTGAGTCATTTAGCAATACACACCCCAACACACATATC